TGTATACAACTGGGTCCCTGTTCTTCGGTAAGGAACATATCTTGTACCAGGCTCCACCTGAGCACGACGATTCCTTAGTTCTTCCACGTGCCTGTACTTATTCACCGAGGCCGATCCTCTGAAGAAGTTTTCTGCTGGTTGGCGTCTGTATCAGGCAGTTGATCTGGGTGGTTGCTTTGCACTTCAGCCAACTCATCGAATGTATTGTGAAGTCCGAGCGCTAATAGCTTCGCAGTTGAAGTGCTTTGTGGTAGTCGCAGAGCCGCTTTATGCGCCATCCTTATTACTTTGTCTGCTTTTTTTTCTCCTCTCTATTCATGTTGTGGTAGGGTAGCGCTTAGTCATCAGCAGACTAACATAGAACAAAGACATAAAAAATAAAATTTTGATGCTCACCCAACAGCACAACTCATAAAGTTTTTTCATTAGTAATAATAATAAATGAAATCAACATCCTCATTTTTCAAAAAGTGCACATAAGATAACAGTCATGCATGTATCGACATGGAAGGATAATGATATAGATTAGTTTGTTAGTCCTTTGGTTTCATTCAGATAATTCCACACAGCCACGCAAGCTTTTGCAATGGTGAACCTAGAAATATAGGCTCCAAGAGACAGAATTACTGGCATGAATCAATTCATTCCAGTAGAACGTAGAAGTAGAAATTTACGGGCTTGTTTCTTTTTGTTAGATACAGTAAGAATGAGAGCTAAGAGACAAGAGCGGCAAGTTATATATTTTCCATCCGATTCTCTCTACACACTATTGCATTACATTTGTTGCTAATAACATCCCCTATAATTTCCCTTGAAGCACTGTCTGTTAGCTCTCATTAATATTTTGAAGCACGAAACAAAGAGGTCCCCCGAAGTTTGTCACAGTTATTTTATCGTTTCCTCAATAGCTGCCAGCGAGCTCTCAATTCACATGAAGCCGACGTCTTGGCGAGAGGCTGCCTTGAGCACATGTGAAGCCTGTCATCGGAGCGAGGGAGGTGCATTTTCAAAAAAAGCACATGGCTGCCATGATGCCACCTTGGAGCATCGTAAGAATCTAAAAAAAAAAACACAGAACGCTTCGATTAATTACACTGCCACCTCGTATCACACTACGTACGTCATTTAGCGTATTCCTTTTAATGAAGTACTGAGAATAACTTTAAAAATTTTGGCTGGTTGCTCTAAATGTAAACACCGGTATCGAGAACCTCAAAAAAGAGAGTTGTGGTGCCTCGAAAGATATAGCTTTAACAACGCTACCTACACACACACACACACACACACACACACACACACACACACACACACACACACACACACACACACACACACACACACACACACACACACACGCACGCACGCACGCACGCACGCACGCACACACACACACACGCACGCACGCACGCACACACACACACACACACACACACACACACACACACACACACACACGCACGTTTAGTTTCGATATCAAGAGGAATTGCTAACGTGTTAACTTATTATACAAGTGCTAACGTATATAGATGGATGCGCAACTTTGTTGTTAGTCCTGAGGTGCACGACTCAACGCGCAGCGGGCAGCTGCCACGTTGGTGAGTCAGGCCAACTTATTAGGGGCGAAGCTACTTAGGGTGTGGGTCATTCCCTCCTCCTTTTGTATGTATAATAGGAACGTAGCCACCTCTAGTTTATTAATTGCTCACTAAATGGCGTTAGTGGATTTTCTACACACGAAAATCGAAGAGGATAGATGGCACTGTTATGACAAGAAATTCGCAGCACATTCACGCATAGTGAATGGTGATGAGTGGGGCGAAGCATTCATCGGTATAGTCCGATGCGTGCTCTAGGGTGATATGAGTGGACGGACAGACAGATAGACAGACAGCCGGACGGACGGATGGACGTTTCGCTCCACTCATCATCACTTACTCCATGAATATGCTGTATATTTTTTTATAAACTGCGATCTATACCATGTAAAATTTTGTTTTCGGGCAGAACCGGCATTAGGTCCTTCTAGCGTTCGTCGGCGTCGTCAGCGGTTCCGTGAAAAACACACGGCGAAACGCAGGTCTGGCATCGATTTCTCGCAAATCGAGCATTTTCCTGATGCGTTTGATTCTTCACGTCAGCTTTTATCCTGCGAAAGGTTTTTACTCCATCACCAGTACACCTCAGCATATCAACGCGCACCTACACACTTTGTTGATGTTGTTGCTGATAATGATAATTATTGTTACGTGCTTTCTAGTTTGAGGGCCCACCGCTCGTTGTGCCACGAACATGTTTTGACGCGTGGTGCAATTCTAGGCTACGGGCACGCTACATTAGATGCCTTAAAAGAATATAAAATGAAACAAGAAAATGGTTTGTATATGGATAGAGTATTCTCTGAGAACTCTAGTGTCGATAATTTCACCATAATAAGTTCATTGTTAGAGGAGAAAATCAAGGTGCCAGAACCATTTCTATATTTCGCGCATAAATTTGCGAGCGTGACATCACGAATTTTCAAAGTGGATTTGTCGTATTTTTAGACATTGGCTCGACAATATTTCCCGAAGCTTACTAGGTTAAGTCTCTGGCCCCATAAGAAGACATTATGCTTAATTTTTACCTATTAGGAGCTAATTATGTCTTGGTAAACATTGTAAAAATATATGCTGGTCTTTCATCCGCAGCCATAATTTCTGCGAAACGAGCTCTTTGATGCTACGTCGTTGAAAACTTCTTGCTTTTTCTTTTCTTTTATGGAGCATGCGTTCAAGGACAACTGATGTGGGACGAAATCGCCCTTTTTTCAGAATCGCTCTCCAGATTTGTGTCATTCGGAACACCACTATACCGATAGGTTTTTTTCAAGTCCCGACTTTTGTATATTGTAGCATGTATATGCTTGTGCTTCTTAAATGAAGGTCTCCAAGGTCCTCATTCCTAAACCATGGTCTTACCCGTATCTCTCGTTTTCATAACGATTTCGCGTCTTTAGTGTATTGCCACGACGAAAGTACGCCTCTATTTGCAAACAAATATTGTAGTTATTTTTTACCCAGTTGAGGCTCCTTAGAACGCATAAGCCAAAGATTGTAACGCAGCACGCAGCCAGCTTGACATCGCTCCTTCTCTCGACAAATGCCAAAAACCAAAATTATCGAGCCGTAAACCCGAGCTTTACGGACACTGGTTGATTTTGAGCATCGTGAGCTGCATAGTTATTGCAACCGCCATGGGATGTCGCCACGTTCCCAATCGCGATCACACTGAAGATAAACTGTGCGTTCGAAGAAAAAAAAAGAACGATAGTGGTCATGACGCAGCGCTGACGGACGAACACATCTTGCGCCCTTGTCATTCCACCTGCGTATTGCTTTCAGCGCGCTCGCTGGTTCGGAAGGGGAGAGAAAGTGTTTGACGCGAGCGACAACCCCCCCCCCCCCCCCCCCCCCGTAACTTCACTCGTACGTTGAGCATGCTGAAACAAAACAAAACAAAAAATGTGTGGGAGTCGATTCGGGAGGTATTAAGCTCAATCACTGAACTCATGCGGATTTTACTCGGAAAAGTGTTGCAGGGACCCTTTGAGAAAAACGAAACGTATAAAGACAAGGTTGCTCTATGAATACGGCCCTTATGCACTTGGAAGAAACTTCTGATCGAGGAAAGGGCACTATGTAGCTTAAAATTATCGATACGTCAAAGATGTCAATGAAGCATCAAACCTAATCAATCAATGCATCAGAAGCGATAAAAAACGAGCCGTCACGTTCATTCACTCACTTTGGACGCGTATGATACCAGTATTTCATCTTTGAAAGCAAAACATATATGACCCCCCCCCCCCCCCCCCCCCACCCTTTGCATTGCCACACTGCAACTCTCGTGCTTTATCACAAATTCCTTCATTATTAGCTCAATTGGCCCTCTTATACACCATCCGCAGCACACATATCTCATCGCACCAGTCATCTATTTCAGATTGCCGGCTCATGATCGCGCATTACTACACTTTTTTCTGCGATGATCCTTATTTTTTTCCATAGCCACTCATTGGGACGGCCTCCCTTCAGGGACATCGTCACCATCGTCTCGTCATCTACCTTTCAGGAGCGTGTTATTGATATTATTCGATACAAATACAACATTCACTGCTTATTGTTGACCAAAATAAAACCCCACTCCATTTGCAACGCAATACAAGATAGTAAACTGAACTGAATGTGAATGTACGCGACAATATGTTAACAGTCACCCCAGAAGAAATATGCTGTGAATATTTCAACAGAAGTACAGGATGCCCTAGCTATCTCATTCATTCAGAACACGCCTTTCAGATTGAAGGTCGTATAATGCGGCTATAGACACGTCGTGCCTAAACGAAACGTACCAATATGGCCACAGTCCCGAGTTCATTGTTTTGGTACGAAAGGCAGATGAAACCGTTGACCAGGTACATTAGCGCTCCACTTCCATAGTATGTCGTGAGCTGCAAATAAAGAAAGTCAGCGGTAATGAGGGATGAAAAGAGCGAATAACGCAGAGGTGGGCTAGTGTATAGGTATTAATTATGAAAGACTGTGCGGGCAAAGAACACAAAGAGGAAACCGACTCCGCATTTTTGAATGATATCATCGGACACCGTTTTTAGCGAGGTGGTCCTCTACCACACTCGCAAATAGCTACACAGAACGAAACAGTTATCCCGGTCTTTTCACGCTTGCACAGCCAGAATTTTTCCAGGATAAAGCATTCCTTATACATGCCGCCCCATCACAATCACCTGTTTTCATATTATACCATCGCATCTTTTCCATTAGTGGACTAAATTGATGTAATGACACTGATGATGATGACGACCCTAGCTCGTGAGTTATAAAGGAGCATGCCACTTTCAGATAAGAATCATTTCATTTGACCTGGACATATAGCAACGCTCCGCGGCACAGCCAATTTTACTCTGCCGGCGAATGCGTTTCGTCGAAGATACTCACATATCTCTTCGTGGGTTCCAGTTCTCCTATCAGAGCGTGCAGAATGAAGAAGCACCCGTTGAGCAGGTAAGAGAAGCTCAGGTAATGAATCATCTGGTAGGCACCATAGAAGTAGCCCTCGACGTTTAGGAGGAGCAAGAGCATGAAGGCGATCCCCTGTGTGACGAATTCGCATCAATCAACAACCAATCAATGATCGAGGATCATACAGTAACGCATAACGAGCCGCAGCGTCAGAGGCACGCCTCAAATCAGATTGACGTTCTCAGTCGATTTCATTGTTCTTTATCCTTCTTTCAGCAACTCTGCACTTACAGTCAGACAGGCGAGCAAAGTTCACCTTTCGGCTTGCTAAACAGTATATTTCATCATTGTCAGTGGTCTCTTCATTCAAGCATGGCTCGTATAGATAGACTTGAAGGTAAAAACTGCCTTACATTGCTAGCAGTTTTGCAGACTTTTTTTTTTTCGTTTGAACGTAAAAAACAATATCCCTATAGCCGATGTTGTGCGCTTTCCCGACATTAAAATATTGGTACGGTCATCACTGAGATAGAGACAGTTAATGTATCCAAGACGCGGTGGTGACGTGGATTGGGTATGGAGTTAATCGAGGAAAGCTTAGACATAATCTTCTGATGAACTATTCCACGAGACGATGAGAAGCGGTGTGAGTGCGCTGCATTCCAGGAGAGGCAAACAGGCATGCACTTGGTAGATGGTATAAGAAGCTATAGCTCAATAATGTTCCCACACCAAAAACATTTGATTGTCGAAATGCAATGAGAATCCCGGCTATACTAAATATGCGTCAACTTAGTAGAGCGCAAACGCACGCACACACACACTCACAAAAAGCTCGATTGCAACAGTAAGTCTTGACCAGCCCCCCCCCCCCCCCCCCTCACCATGTCCCCTTCACCGAAAAACACTCAGCCCGCTCATAGCAAAGAATAAAGAAACGGGGGAGCTCCCGAATTTGTCTCCCTCTCACCATCACGTCACTCCTCTTCACACACACAAGCCTTTTATCCTTTTGGCTATCACAATGCAAAAGGCTATGCTATATATGCTTTATTCTCCCTTCCATCTTTCGATCCTCCTCACCCCCAATTTGCCTTCCCATGTGCACCCCCTTGCTATACCATACTGTACATGACTATAATACGTGCTCCTGGCTAGGCAATACTAGACATTCCCTCTCCTGGCGTGGCCAATAGGCTAAGCACGGCTGGACAACCTTTCCCGAACTAAACATCTCCTCTGTTCATAAAAACGAAAAAAAGAAACACGTGAAATAACACTGGTATTTTTTCACCATATCCTTCCTAAGGCAAACATTTCATATAACACACATTTCTTAATGAGGCGTTCATAACGATGCACTGCTATGTGACTCGCACAGTTAATTTAATAAGATTAGTATAACTCCTCGTGGAGTACAAATTTATCCGAAACACTAATATTGTTAGAATGCTGCCCTTGGCATGCCCTTAATATTCCGAAAAGTTCATTGAGCCTAATGAGAGTGCTCTACAAGTGCACTTAGAATGTGGAATTTGAATAGAAGGTTTTCTACCGATTCATTATATGTTAGTAAAACGCAGATTCACCGCTGAATATAAATACGTTCAAATATCTTACAGTTGTCGCCGCTGCTGCTGCTCCTCTCTTCGTCTGCAGGTAACCGTTTGCAAAGCCTCCCTGAAAAAAAGTTGATGGGCTCAAATACAAAAATAACTAAAATAAATAACGAGGAATAGTACAAATAAAGCGTCAGCATCGCTCATGGCACGTGTCATGCCATGGTCACAAGCGCTTACCTTTCCCATCGTGGCGACAACGTCGTTATTCTTCAGCGACTAAAAGCAAGCATTCACCCGAACGAGCCTTCTTCGTCTTCTTCATCTTCGCAGAAACCTGAAAAAAGATGACGCTATAGCCCTCAGTTTATGATTTCGTGCAAAACTTCACATTGCGAGCATGAAATTTGCAATAATTATTAGGATTTGTCATGCCAAAACAACAATACGATTATTGGGCACGCTGTAGTGCGGAATTCCGGTTTCATTGCGCCCACCCAGCCTTTGCATTTGACGAGTGAAAGGTATTGTATCGTGCGTGGGACGTGACGCGATGGAGCCCAAAAGGGCCCTGCGCCCGTAGCGCAAGCCGGAGGAGAAGGAGAGGAGCTGAGACCCAGGCTAGGGTGGCTAGACACCCTACCCTACCCCATTTTAGACACCCCAGACGGAGACTTGGCAACGGTACTCTATTACTATGTACAGTGCCTTAAATACCGTGGTAGTGCGCCCCCTGGTTGCCAGAGAACTGGTTCTCTTAATGGAACCGAAACTAAAATACCACGAAAAGAGACTGCCTTTTGTGCCCCGTTCGCATCGTCTTCTCACTCATTTGCCCTGCTTCTTCTCTCGGTGGACACTTCAACCGTGTCATGAGGAGATGAACATCATTGCGCGTCAACGTTGGCGTGCGCGCAGGGGCAAGAGTTGAGGGGTGGAGCAAAGTCTGCCACATCCAGAAAAGTCACAGTTTCGCCACTAGGCCAAGCAATGAATGCGATAGCAAAAATTATAATATCACATGTAGAACGACAACAGGCTATATACTTTCAGCAATTGAGTTTCCTAAAATAGATTTAAAAAACTATGCTCTCAGCATACCGCTGATGCACAAAGAAGGACGCTCGTAAAGAACGCATGGGTATAGACGCTGGACAAGTGTGAACTAATAATCGTCCTAGTTGTTACGTGTTTGTATTTGAGAAACGCGCTGGAAATGCCCGCAATGCAAAAGTTGACGCTGTTTGATTTCTCTTTTATTATTTTAAACTGCGGAACATGAAATGGCCTCTGTGCCCCTCCTGGCACGCGGTGGCGTCTGACGCCTAGTGAGCCACGCCAGGTCAAGTCAAGTCGAGATCCTTGATGATGTGGCGCATACCCACGCTTGGGGATTGACCAAAACCGGATAGTTTTCATGAATTTCTTCCTTAATGACAGGTTAAGATTATTCTATTTACGAGAAATAAATGAAAGATGCAACAGGAGCAATTTGATGGTTGAATTGTAAATAATCTGTAGTGTGATGCAATAAAGTGGCGTATTTGATTTAATGTGAATTTGGAAAAGTCAAAATCTACCGAAGAATGATTTTAACACCTAAACGTCTTTGAACTTCTGACAAACTCCTGCACTGCTTCAACAATCTTCTCGTCGCTGTGGCCAAGAGACAAAACCCCGAAAGAAATCACTCTTTGAGCATTTAAATCTATTCCGGGAAAGTGGAAAACGGCAGCTAAAGTGTTTTTTCGTAAGACAGAGGATCTATTACAGTAAATGAGACAATGTTCAGTTGACTCAATCACCCCACAAACAGGACAATGAGAGGAGGCTGGCAGACCAGCTCTGTGCAAATATAAATTTAGCTGCGGAATTTGACAGCGCAGTCAAGTGATTGCGAGTCACGTGTTCTTTATTTTATTTTTTTTTCTTTCTTCTTTTGTACATCATGGGCACAACAGAAAAGGACCACTTTTCCTTGTGTGTCTCAAAGGCAGTTTTCGATTTGAAAGAATATATAAAAGTGTGGGTGACAGAATATACGTGCAAGCTGTTCTGAGATCTGCGTGCCGCGATCGCTAAATGGTCAATATGAATAGGTCGCCGTTATATTACCGGTACAAGCATGGCGAGTGGCTGTGGTAATAAAAATAAACAACAAACAAAAGAAAAAGCAAGTTGCTGTGTTGGCTAGCGCAGTGGGCTGGGGTGTGAGGATTCGCTGGTTAAAATCCCCGTACGTTGCTTTGGAACATTTTTCAACTGATTAATTTTTTGTATCTTTTATATATATATATATATATATATAGGTGCACGTGCATATCTAGAAATGACGGCGATGGCAAAAATCAGCCGAGATTGTCCATAAAATTGCTATCGCAACAAAAAGAAACGAATTAATATGTCAAACGGCGACGTCGTACCTGATCCATCTAAACAGACTTCGTATTCTGCTCAGCATAAACACACGAGCATATTGTAAAAGTTAGCACCCTCCCCCCCCCCCCCCCTCTAATCAACTATAGGGCACCCATTACCTTTACTCAGGCGAACCCTTCACGTAATTTTTTTTAATGCGAAGGGTTTACGACTGTACCGTCATGGCTCATGTTTTAACCACGAAGCTGTCACAATTTTGTGCCGGATATTGGGTACGTGCCACTACTCGCCAATGGTCCGTTAGAAAAGAAGGCAGCAGTTAACCCAACATTCTTTAAGGGAGACAAAACGAACAGAATGCTAGTTTTGTCAATTTTTTACTGCTTATTTATATTTTAGTGATTATTTCTTTGAAAACCTTGATTGTACCCTTGAATCTCTTTGTAAACCATCCATTCCTATATAGCATATTCGGATTGTAAGACAATATATTCTTTAAAATAAGGTACCACTCGTTTCATGGCCGATACCCCGCGGTGGGCTGCGCGAGGTCACTAAGGAACAACCAAGTAACCAAATAAAAAACTGGAAAGGCATTGGCGCGGCTGTTACAAGACCCTGAAGCGACGTAAGGCCTACGCTTACAACTACGTGCCCGTACATCTAAGAAACGAACGAACGGGTTTAGCGCGACTCTCCGTCTCTGGAGTTCGCACTTTCGTGTCTTGTCTCACTGTTTAACTCGAACCTCTGTGCACTAAAAATCAGTAAAGGGCAACCAAGCATCACCTAGCTTAAGTTCCGCGACTACCTAGATGCAACCTAGAGCAACCCTCATCACCAAGCCTAGAAACAAGCTAAAAGGACCAATATTAGTATGCAAATTCGTCCAGCTTTCATTTTTGAAGGCTTGCGCGGCTTGGCACATTGTGGAAGCTTCGCCAGTTCTTTTTTAAACAGCGGATCTGTTCAAGCGTTTGATTGATTGATATGTGGGGTTTAACGTCCCAAAACCACCATATGATTATGAGAGACGCCGTAGTGGAGGGCTCCGGAAATTTTGACCACCTGGGGTTCTTTAACGTGCACCCAAATCTGAGCACACGGGCCTACAACATTTCCGGCTCTATCGGAAATGCAGCCGTCCGTTCAAGCGTTTCGTTGCATCGGGCTGTGTGAAAAGAAACTAACCAGCAGGCATTTTCCTCCACCTGTCGGTCCTCTTCACCCCGTTCAGCTTCTTTGCTCCCAGTACACGTTCCCCAATTCGTCCGGCCTGGGATGGAATAACTCTAATGTGCGGACGAGTATACAGGTAGACAGTGAGAAAGGAGATATAAAGCATAAGAGGGAAATAGAGAGACAGAAAGAGAAAAATAAATATTCTAAGCGAGGTGGCAATCGAATACGCTTACTCACAGGGTCATAATACACGCTATCAGAGCAGAGTATAGTAGAGTATAGTATAAAATTTGGTGGATCCCACCTATCTAGGGGATCAATGTTACGCGAAGCATTTTTATGGAAGGTGACTGTATTGAGAATTTTCTTGTTGAGCGAAACGTTGTGAAGTGGCACTAAGGATATGCACAAATGCACGCACATACATACGTTAAACAGCCACATGCGTATGTTTTATATGACAAGTTCTGTACAACGATGCCAATAACAACACGTAACGATGCCGTAACGATGCCAATAGCAACACGAATGTTACCAAGAGTGGAAGCTTGGGCTAGTTGGTGCGTAGTCATATTTGCAAGATTGTTTCAGCGCGCGAACAATGGAAAAAGGACAGGGTAGACAGAAAGAGTGCTGAACATCGCTCTTTCTGTCTACCCTGTCCTTTTTTCATTGTTCGCGCGCTGAAACAATCTTGGGAATATTACAAACACCGGAAGCGGTAAGCTGATAAGAAGTGCTGGTGTTCGCGAATATGGTGTTCGCGAATACTTGCTTTCGTCGGGGCAACGCTGCCGATGTCAGCGGGTGAGCGGTCGTATGGGTGATTGATGGATATGTGGGGTTTAACGTCCCAAAACCACCATATGATTATGAGAGACGCCGGTCGTATGGGTGAGTGAGTGAGTGAGTGAGTGAGCGGTTGGATGGTCGTGTGAGTGAGTGAGTGGATGGATGGATGGGACGGATGGATGGGACGGACGGATGGGACGGACGGATGGGACGGACGGATGGACGGACGGATGGACGGACGGATGGAAGAAAAAGAAGAGGGAAATGAGGGAAGAGGGTCCAGAGAGAAAAGCATAGCATACAGAGGAAGAGAAGAAATAGGCAAGAAGAATTAGAAAACGAAAAATAGAAAAAAATTAGAAAGAGCGAGAAAGAGAACAAAATAAAGAGAAAAGAAATAGAAATAAATGAACAAAAGACAAAAACAGTGAAGAGCAGGAAGAAAACAATATGTGGCCGGTGCAAGATAATTTCCATTCGTGCGACCCGGCGTAACGAAAAGCTTGATCATTTAGAAAAGAATATGTTTGGCCATTACCCTTGGCATTAAAATGGCGTGAACGGTTCGAGAGGTGAATCTAAGGGGTGTAAACAGAGAAAACCACCCCTTTATGTACTTTCTTTAGGCAAGGCTTCACAATAGTGCGTATCTGCCTTAATATTTCAGACAATGGCGACCAGGACGCCTGACCGGAAAACCGAGGGCCGACGACACGCGTTTGTGAGGAACAGATTATGACACACGCAAAACATGCTATCCATACCCCTCCCACCCCACTTATATAGAGAACACTGCAAATTTCTGTTCACCTTGCGTAGCCTATGACAGACAGACACACAGATGACATTTACGTGCTGAAAACTGCAACGTTGCAGTTCTGTTTGCTCGGGGAATAAGTATAGTTAAAGAAAAAAACTGCAGCTGTAGATGTTTTTTTCAGTCGAAAATAAA